CTGATCAGCCATAGACTCCTGTGGTGGATTTTCCTGTACAGATGCTCTTTATACATTTGTACATGGGAATTAGAGCCAACTGCCATTGTCCAACACCAAGTCTTCAGTATACTGAATAACAATGTTAGTATTGTATTTGCTGAGGAAATAGGCTCAAATATCTGATCGGCTGTAAGTTAGATATCAGCCTAAGATTGTTTGTTTGTAGGACTGCAGATGGTCCAGGAAACAGAACTTTTGTCTGTAGAGACTTCCCTGGTCACACACTTACTGCTGCTGAGTACAATGTGACTTCTCTATTGTGTTCCAGTAGAAATTTATGACCGTGTACAAATTATTCACCATCCCAATTGTTTAATGATCTGACCAGTACATTTCCAGATAATATGCATATGTGTAATATGTACAATGGCACTGCACTTTGCATTAGGATCTCTTCTTTTAAGAAAAACTTTAAAGTTAAAATTACAGAAACTATGATGTCAATTGTCTGCCTATGTTTTTCTCTTTGTTTATCTATCTGAAAACACTTTAATTAGAACTAGACTTCTAACTTCTGAGTATTCAGATCCTTGTAGGCTAAGGTAGTGTGGTCTAGGGCAAACAGTATTTATGCTTGTGTTTAACATAAAGCATAAAAATATTTCTGTGAGGGTTTCATAAAGCACATACTAAAGCATATACTCAGCATATGCCTTGCTGTGTTGGATCTTAGTAAAGATCCCCTGCCATTTTGGGGACTTCTTGTTGCATGTTAATAAAACTGAAACATGGGGGAGCCATTTTCATTGCAGGCATCATCTGCCTGTGCTCCATCAAACATTTTCTCATACAAAGAGTATATTTCCATATAAGATTTCTACCAGCTTATATAGGCTCAGCAAAAGAGACTTCTAGCAAGGAAGCCTCAGAACAGCTGTTCCTTTGTGCAAGTGTTGGTGTCACAATCTAAACACTTGGGGTTTATCAAGTTTTCATTGCATTCTTATTGCCATCATTTTCCTGCTAACAGTAAACATCTGAAAGAATTTCTTTTAGATAGGGAGAGAAATAAAATAGTCAGCTTCACCATACCTTCAGAACTAAAGCTTCATACTTTTTTTACCCTTCATCACTGAGTGTATGAGTTGGCATATGAGGTATATTGACTCGTTGCAGAGCAGGAATGCTCTGCAGAGTCTTAATGATGTGCATTAAAAGAATTTACTGCCTCCTGCAAAATAGGATCCTGCCTGGTAATAAATGTGTGTTTATAAATCACCTGCAATGTTTAAACTGACTGAATAAACAATCCTTGTAGTAAATTCACCACTGATTCGATTCCTTAACTTTGCAGATATTTTCTCAAGTAGATTACTCTCTCAAGCTCAAACTATGACACTGGCAAGCACCATTAATGAAAGTCTGACACTCCCTGTCATGCAAGTCAGGAAAGCTCCTGTCCTCTCCAAATATCTGGGAACTGTTCTCTTCCTAAGAAAATGAAAATCTGTAATTTTCCAGCCAGACACACTTATCTATCCTGCTGTTGATCCATCTGCACTCTGTGTTCTAAATCAGTCACTCCTCTCACCAAAGGTCCTTGGAGTAGAATTCAATACAAAGGATTGTAACTGTAAAGCGCATGTACTAGAATTAGATTTGGAATTAATAAAAACAACACTCTATCAGAAAATTACATTTAAATCAGCTTTTCATAATATCTTTTGTGAAATGTCAAAGAGTAAATAACAGAATCACAAAAATGGTAAGGTTGAAAGGGACCACATTGGGTCACCTGGTCCAACCTTCCTGCTCAGGCAAGGTCATCTGAGAGCACAATGCACAGAACTGTGTCTAAATGGTTCTTCTGCCTTAATGTTTGTAGGTGCTTGAAGATCTGAAAAAGAATGGAATTAAATCCCAACAGTCAAGTCATGCATCTTGATTCATGAATAAACTGAGGGTGGGGAAACCTTCCTTGACTTCTCACTAACCCTTTTTATAGCTCCATATGAATGTGGAACAGAAGGGGTGACAGAATGTTTTCCTTCAGCACCCCACACTGCAGAACTTACCAGGAACAGAAGTAATTACAAGTAGATATCAGGGTCTCCTGGAGAAAATAGAGCAGATGTCAATGAGATTCCCACAAGTCTTTTCAGTAACCTCTTGCAATGCAAAGAATTTCTGAGCTGTTAATCATTGTAATATTATCAAGGATATGCATTTAGTGGAACTAAATGTAGCAATGGTAACTACAGTTGTATGCAACCCAACAGACCCATTTTTGTGCGTTAACAGTCATTCATTTCCTGATGCGTTAGCTCTTCCGGATGAAGTTAACTATAGAAGAATGTCATGAAGATTAATCCAGGATTTCCCTCTGCAAAAGTTAGGCCTGCTACTGTGCTTAAACTTAGTGTTCTTTTACCTCAGCATCAAAGATGAGGTGTGAGCCCAATCCAGGTGACTGATTTTGAAATCTCACTCACTGCAGTGGTGCTTTGTGTGCACAGACCCTTGCAGGCCTTGGTTCCACCACAGCATTGGCTAGCTGAGAGCTGAGTATCTCAGTTGGCCATCGGGTGTGCATCTTGGCACTGAAGTGTCTGATGCTTCCAGTGCAACATTCATTGCCTCTGTCAGGGGCAAACCCATTCCCAAAAAACAATTTTCAGGAGGAAATTAAGAAGGAGCTGAATTACAAAACAAAACCAGCCCTTTGCTCCCGGTTCCTCCCCCACCACTTCCTTCTTGAAGCAAGGATCTTAAAGGCTGATTGAAACAATGTTGAATAAAATTATTTTAGGCATATGGCATTTAATTTCATTGCATTCATTTGGCTTCTACCCCAGTATCATTAAGTATTTGAATGGTGCTTTAGCTCTTTAGAAGCAGAGAATTCAAAATTACTTTAGTTTTAAATACTAAAGGCCTGTGGTTTGCATGTGTCAGATTTGGATTGCCTCATTTACATGCATATCTTTTAGGTATGCAGGACTACGTTGTTTTTCAGCAAAATTAGATTAATGTGGAAAAATTAGTGATTTGTATGAGGCCCCTCAGTGAGTGTCAGCCATGTGGCCTAAACTGTTCAGATAGAAGTTGTCAGGAGTACAGAGCTGTAGTGCTCAAACTGAGTTTTGTCTGTTAAAACTTGAGTAAGAGTTAAGCATGCTTTGGGTAAATATATCAAAGCCACCTGCTAGAAATCATTTTAGCTCTGCAGTGTTCCTGGAGTCCTGTACTTGTTGGGTCTGAAAATAAATATCATGTTGCATTTTGTATCTTATATGTGGTACGGTCAGCAATTCAGTTCCAAGCTAAAAGAAGGCATGGAAATGGTGTCTCCTCTAGCAGTCTGAAAATGCAGTGGGAATTTGAGGCTGTAAGAACGTTCTGTAGCAGTGAAAGAAATACAGAGACCATATATAAAAAAAGAAAAAAATTTCTTAGTTTTTATAAGAGCTTTTAAAAATTCACAGCAGTAGTTTACTGATAACTGCAGCATAAAAATAATATTACAAAACTTCATTCACTGCCCGTTGTTTATTTCCATAGCTCTCAAGAAATAAAAAAAAAATCAAAAAATCAGGAAATCTCAAAAAAATACATATTTTTTTGTCACAAAACTGACTGAATAATAGCAGCAGAGATCAGATCATTGCTGAAAAACAGTAATTTTTTCAAGCAGTGGAATGTCTGGCCTTGTTAGGAATACAAGGGAATATGGCAATATACATATTACCTTAGAGGTACGGTTAATTTAGGCTTCCTGTTGAGTTGAAGTGAAACTGGAATTATTTTGATATTTTGTTTACTTGTATTAATTAGTACCTTAATCTCCCATCATAAAAATGGCCCCTCATGCATACATTCCAACTTACTCCAACATAGCCAGGCAGTTTATATTTTTAATTTATTTTTTGAAGCTGTATTACATTACGAAATCTGATTTTACCTTTATTTTATCTTGGACTTGATGTGGGAATAAGGCAGTAGGAGAATTTTTTTTTTTTAGCCCTCAGTATTTTGGCCTCTGGTGTGTCTGCACGTTTGCTAAAGTAGATTCTGTTGGACAGTGTATATGTGACAATACAGATGCTTAGTATGCAGACGCCACTTTATCCTGAGATAAAGCTGTGACATAAACTGGCAGTAGGTGGAAAATAGTGTCTGCTCCGTCCCATGACATCAGTGGGTTAAAGCTGGCTGTTATATAGCATGTTATGAGATTTCTGCAGTTGTAGTTTGGCTGGTTGTGTTTTACTATTTGTTTTTTTGTAAGTAATGTATAGAGTTGGGATATCTAAATAGATTCAACTTTTGTATGCACTTTACATTATTTTGGTGCAAGTTATTATCTGTAAAAAGTGACCTGATTCGCTGCTCCATTAGGAGTTTTCATAAGGATTCCTGTGAGTGCCAAGACACGTGTCTTGATTCTGTGCATAGAAATACATCAAGCAAGATTAGGAATGTCAGTGTTGTCTGGGTAGACATATTAAATCACTGGATGAAAACAACAACATCTGCTTATAAATTGTTGAAAAAGACTTGGTAACTTCGGCTGCTTAGAAAATATTTGGAGAGATCTACTCTTCACATCCTTTAGTTTGCGCAAAGGAGTGAATAAACCTTGTAAGCAGCTTTTGAAAATATTTCCACATTCCCGTATGGAAAATATTTTTAGTTTATAGTTTCAAGACCAGGAATTTAATCACTAGGTTTTTTTATCCTACAGCAAATATTTACAAGAAAGCTACTAAACACTTGAAGATAGGGTGACTTATAATGGAAGTGACAGCTCATCTTTAACTTTGGAAGGACAAGCAATACCAATTTAATTAAAGCAGTGTTAAAATAGGACTGCCATTTGTATCACAGTGATTCTCCACCCCTCCAAAAAGCTCTGCTGCCATTTTGTACCACACATTCTTGTCCTGTGCAAATTAATAGATCGTTTTATTTTCCGCAGGAAATCTGAAGACTTTTATAGCAAATCCTCCAGTGTCAAAATGAACACAGGTATGCTGCATCTGTGAGATTTTTTGTGTTGTTTTTGTGAGCAGAGAAGATCCCAAATTTACTAGAATTTTCATAAACAAATTGTACTTTAGTTGGTGCTGAATTCAAAATAAGCTGGATATTTTAATAGTATGCCTGCTTATGTGTATTTGTATCCCATATATAAAATTTACATACATGTTTTTCTATGTATGGACATATATGGATACATAAAAGTGCATGCTTAGACTTCTGTGCTTAATTTAATAGTATCAGTTTTGTGCGTGTGTGTTTTATGTGAAAATACATAGTATGAGGATACAACAGTGATGGAAAAGGGTTATTAAAGCATCACGTTTTTCTAAGAAAATGCACATGCTTTAAAATCCCTTATTTCTGTTCTGTACTGTCACTAAATTAAGGGGCATATAATCCCTGTATTGTAAACTGTACTTGCATATCAGCTGAGAATAATCTTGAGGATGTGTTATACTTAGAGTGCTTTGTATTTTCTCTCAAGTTGCTGTAACAGATGTATTGACCCGATTAAGGACTCTATAGAAAGTTATCTTCATGATCTATGACAGTGTACTAATGTTTGCTCCTGAACTTCTGAAGCCAATAAGATAGTGCTGCTCTTTGTGCTGGAAGAGGGAATATGCCTCTTGAAAGCAGACTGCTGAAATTGTGGCCTCACTCAGGTGTAAATTTTCAGTTGGAGTCAGCTCTTTCAGGCTCCATAGGTGAGCTGTCTGGTTTGCAGATTAACTGTGGTACAAGGACAGACCTATCCATCCTTTCCAAACCAGTGGCTTTATCATTAACCACAGTGCTTCACCATGTCATGATATGTGGGACCTGAGGACCAAAACTACCTTTGAAGTCTGAATTTCAGCAGCATGCTCTAAGTCAAAGGGATTAGCTTTTCTGTGATATAGGTGCCATTATCTAGATCACTGTATTAATCCAGCTTCATGGCTTCCTGTTGTCTCAGACAACTGAAACTCAGTAGGATCCAGTTTTGGAGCATATTTTTTAATTCAAAGTTAAAATATATCGGTTCACTTGAAACCACTACATTTGTTAATAGAATAAACAGGAGAAATTAAGTTTCTCGTTTGAGTGTGTTTTGAGCGTGTTTTGTTCCCCAAAGTTTTGGTTGTTCTTAATTGTTTTTCAAATCCTAATCAAAGTGGTGTATTTTTCATTTATAAAAATACTATTTGAAATTTTTCCCATACCTTTCTCATTTTTGGTGGAGATGTCTTTTCTAAATGTGTCAGTCTGCATAATCCAGGTAGTACTAAAATACGACTTGTTTCACGGAGCTGTAATTTCAGATGTAACTTTCCTAATCATCATACTATAATTACATTGTGCATTGCCATCATATGAGTCAAAATCACATGATAGAGGTAATTTTATAGCTTCTACTTCAAAAAATATGAATAAAGAGGTAAATTGCCAGTTTGTGCTACTGTGGCCCCAAAGTATGATGCTGTACTAAGATTTTTGATGTAAGTTATGACTTTGATGTTGTTCGATGCTGTACTAAGATTTTTTATGTAAGTTATGAAATCTCAAGAGAGAAGAAATAAGATTTAAATAATCTGCAGCTGAATGACTTCTCTTGGGGATTGGGAGTCTTCTGATCAGACAGGAGCCTTAAAAACAGACCTTAAAGTCCTGAACACATCTGAAATCCTCTCCAGTTACCTAAAGATACCATGATTTTAGGTTGAACTTTAATCTACTCTGCACTTGGACAGTGAAAACATTTTTTTCATCTTCTATGTGCTTGATATTAATGTGCATGTTATCAGCTGCACTGAAAGGAAGGTATTGACAAAATGTGGCAATTGTTATCAATTATTATATTGAGGTAGATTGTTTTCTGACTGTAAAAAAAATTAAAAACATGTGAGTAGGATGTAAAAGTGAATGTCTTACACCTATCCTTGCACCTATCTAAAGCATTACTTCATTAAGAAAGAGTGACTCAGGTGGAAGCTGTTCTATGTGCTGTTCTGGTCTAGCTATTTCCTTTTTTCTGTTTTTTCTTTCCTTTTTTTTTTTACCTTTTTTCTTTCTACAGTATGCTGTCTTTTGAACATGAGTGCTACAGCTTTGGTTTGGGGTTGGTGGTTTTTTTTTTATTTCACTGCTTTATAACAGAAATTTGTACATGGTGCCATTGTAGGTTATCAGTTGCTATTGATTTGCCACTAGTTTGTTTTAAAAAATATGCCTTTCATCAATGACTCCTGCCGATAAATGAGCTCTCTAGTTTGATGCCAGTAACTGGTGGAGTGGCAAAGCTAATGTGTATGCAGCTTTAAAAATAAAAAGTAAATCTACTGCTTAGACTGGGTTCCTCTAATCCAGAGTTCCTTCCCTGTGGCTGCAGACTTGGCAGTCTGTCTCAGCAAACCCTCCGGAAGATATTTTTGTCTACAGAGAAAATGTTTTGAAGAGCTTTGGTTTGCAATACTCTACCATATATGGGAGAGATCTTTTAGCATTTGATGTTAATTCTGTTCCACATGTTAGGAAGGAATATTCAGCAGCATAAAGCAATGAAACATTTTTGCAAAAGCAAAGAAGCAGAGGTAGGATACAGATAAGGTTTTTCAGAAGTTTCAAGGGTACTTTGGCTTCTGCTTCCTTTTGGAGTTCAAATGTTGTCATAAATCTAAAATAGTCTCATAGAATTTGTGTGTGTTTTTAAACCCAGAGTAAGCAATCATCAACAGAATCATATTTTAACCTATATTTAGGGGGTTTCTTCAATAAGTCTTCAGGTATTTTACAGATTGATGAACATCATTAGCTTGGTTGCTTGATTAACTAACTCACAGAAAATATGAGCTGGCCCTGAAACTCACATCAGATTAAAACACAGGATAGATGTCCTTATTGTTCATTATGCATATGTGCATGCATAGCTCATGTCGAGGAGAGGTAGTTGCATTGAGGAATAAGAAATGGATAGAAGTTAATAGTTAAAACAGATTCTTAGTGTTCATCTGTAAATATTTTGGCTGAATTTCACACAGATCATTCTTGATAAATGCATCTAATTTTAAAGCTGTTAAACAAGTTAGCTGTTTGCATTAGATGAAGCACATAAAGAACAGCCAAGAGTGAAAAGTATTCAGTTCTGGAGGACTGCTAATATTATCTGTTTGTTAAAATTATTAATGGAAGTCATTACATGGACTATTCTCTTACATTTTGTCTGGGAGACAAGAACATAATTTCTTGGGTCCATGTAGAGTTCCTGAGCAGATTATTAAGCCACTTTTAAATCACTGAAGTAAATTAGGTGGACTTGAGTTCCAAAAAATTTAAATTTTAGCAGCATGAAAGAACCAAATAATAAGTTTACCTGTCAGTGTAGATTATGTTGTAAAAAACTCATCAGCACATGCAAAACTGAATTCAGATAAAGAGTGGAAGGAGTAGAAGCCCAAGTAATAGCCTGCCCTGCCAGGATATTCCCAGACCCATCATGGGAGCCATCAAAGGCCTATTTGTCTCCATAAGCCTGGAAGAGCACAGGGACACAAGGGCAGGCAAGAACACGAATTAGGGTGATCCAAGGAACAAAGGGTCTTCCTTGTCCAGGGCTGTCCCAGGAGAGCAGGCATGGAATGAGTGGCAGATTCAATGTTTGAGCCCAGTTAGTTGCTGGAAGGATCCACTCTGTCCACATGTGCCATTCTCCCTGTTGGAGCTTCAGCCAGAGAGGAGAGGGTGTGAGGCCATTGTGCCATGTTGGTGTGAGGACTTGGGGCTGTGTGTCCGGCCATGTATGGATGTGGTGTGTACATCTGTCTGCTAGGAAGGCATTTCCAATCTCCCTCCTGGTTGGACCTGGGGACATAAAGAGGCAGCAGCTTGGTCTGTCCTGGACGGTTGGACCCAGCATTATATTTCTACCTCAAAAGGTCAGAATGCAAGTAAGGAGTAAGAAGCCCTGCTCTAAAGACTTCTAAACTTGAATTCACTGTGCAGACAAAAGAAAAAATTATACGATTTGCAATTTCAGTGAATAGAATAATAATCAGCAAACCTAATGTTTGGATGCCATTTTTCTTCTCTTTAATAAGCTTTAAGAGCTTATTAAAAATTTCTTGCCCCTGGCTGCTCTCTCTCACCCCTTCACACAAGGTCAGCATCCTTTCATCTTTGCCCTCTTTGTTCATGCCCCTGCTTTTACTAACTCTCCGAAACAGTCTTTTTAAGAAACCCACCCCTTGCTCTTACAAATGAAATGGTGGTGTTTTGAATCGTCTCCATCTCGCTTTGGGGCAGGACCCAACCAGTAGACCATTTGTCAAATACAGATACACAGCTCACTGAGGATGATGCTGTCTCTAGTGGGAGCAGCTCTTGGGGCTGTGAATTTAGGGGGAAGGGTTAAATGTGGAAACAATTAAGAGAGGAAGAGAAAAAGAAGCTGCGATTACATTTTAGGCAGCTGTTTTGATTGTGAATTATTGCCTGACTTCATATTCTAGCACTGCCTGCAGACCTTAGCTGGTTTGGGTCTCCTTTGCTTCAATGTTAAAGCAATTTCTAGTTAGACAGGACTCCTTCCTGAAGAACTTTTCAGGTCAAAGGAATTGTGAGTGTGTGTATGCGTTATTTGTGCCCACATTTTTTATATATGCAAACGTTTTGTATAGAATGTTTCATATAACCTCATTTGTTCCATAAGTAACAGCTATGTGATATAATTGCTTATAGTTTGCAAGTGAAATGAGCAGAAGATCATTAATTCAGTCTTCCTTACTGTTTCTTAATACTCCACACTCCACTTAATGGGAGCCTGGCCTGAACAGAGATGAGAGGATGGAACCCATCATGCATCAATATGTGCTTAGCCACACACATTCCTATTCTACTAGAAATTTTGCACAACTCAACATCATATAAATATGAGGTTATGTCTTAACTGAATGCTAATTAGATCTCATTATTTTTTCTACAGATACTGATAAATAATGCAGGAACAGACTTGTGAATATATATAAATTATATATATAGGGGTAAATATTGTATGTAGTCAGTTAAAATCTGTTTTATTTCTCTTGCATGAAGGTAAAACACTTTGCTAGATTATGGGTCCATGAAGTATACATTAAAAACTAAATGGAAGCAGAATTTTCTGAAGTTAAAATAATTAGATGTTTGTAGTCATTTTGTCATGGTCTTCACTTTCTCTATCATAAAATTCAGGAAGGTATCTCTTGAAAAGTTACAAATAAATTGCCACTGAATTTGAATAAGAGCTGTGACAGTATAATTTTTTTTTTTGCACATTAGCTTATATTAAGTGTATGCTTTCAAAGTCTGCCAATATTCAGATTAGAAGAGAACCTCAGTATTGACATATCACCAAATCTCATTGGAATTACCTCTGTTGGATGTCAATGGTGGAGGAAAAGGAATACAAGAAGGGAAAATGTAATTTCAATTACCATTTCCATTCTGTATTTATGTAAGCAAACTAAAACACATGTACAGATTTGATAGCCATTGCCTTTGTGTCACACGTACAATGCCAATAATTAATGGCAGGTAATGTAGTGCTTTCAACTACTGCTGGCTGAAATTATTTGGCCTTTTGCCTTGCACCTTGGAATTGGCAATGAGTCTTTGGTACCACTTTAAGGCAGTGGCTCTGATGTTTGCCAATGTTAACAACTTCTTAATGCATATCCTACAGGGCCTGTGGCCAGGGGAGTATTGGAAAGATTGAAGTAGCAGGGGGATATTGGAATGAGCAAAGAAATACCAGGAGCTTACTTCTCTTGCAGACCTGGGTTAGAAATGACTCTGTGGCTCAAATCACTGCTATTATGGCAGATACTTTCTGCAAATAGGTTGCAGGTCTTCATAAACACCTTAATTTTATAAAACTCCCTGTCATAGGCTACAGAAATAAAAAGGCATTTATCATACTTGTAGTTTTTGACTTCCTTGAAGCACTAAATCAAATCTCAGTAGTATCAAATACTAAAAATAATTCTTTTAGTGACGAGCAGAAAAATACTCTAGTTAAATATAATTGCAAAGAATATTTATTAAGTTTATTTTACAACTATGCTAGAGTTGCTAAAAAGCTAAGTTCTGTCTTCTAATAATAAGAGAGTATTTATAAAATGTAATGGCAGCTCCAGTGAGAGAGGAGTAGAATAAAGAAGGGAGTTGAGCAAGATCCAGAAGGAAGGTTTTTTTCTATACCTCATTTTTAAAAATTATTTTAGATTTCTAGTCATTTCCTCAGAGTGTTATTCAGTTCCAGATATATATTTCTTTTATTTTTTTAACTTACATTAGATAAAAAAGGGGAAGAGGGACAACCAGTTCATTTCATCAAAATGAAAAAAAAAATTATGCCTTCACTGGTAATTTTGTTTCTGGAGCATAAAAGATCCAAAAGGAACAAAAGTACTTTGTCAGCTGATCAAACATGAGCTTAGTTTATGAATGGTGTCTTTCTAATGCCTACAATGAAATTATTTTACAGTGCAGATTATTGATTAATATTATTCTGAAATGCTTAAGCCTTTATCTTGATTACTTGTTTGCTTTTGCTAATTAGCTGTAATTAAGCAGTCTTTCAGGTAACAGAGTGTATATATTTCCCTAGTGGATTAAGTATTAAACACAGCTTTCTTCACTTATTCTCTGTGAGGTTTATCGTTATTTAAAGCCTGTGAAATTTTATGTATTCTGCTAATCTGCCAAACCTGCAAATTCAGAGATTTCTGCAGCAGTTCCTTAACTGCATGTTTATTTTCATGTGTGTTTGGCATATCTCACAGTGTGATGTGTTGCATGTGCTTGCTCCCTTTGTCTGGGGCTGCTGTCTGTATTGTTTTGTGCTTCCAGATAGCGGTGGGTGTGCTCGCAAACGTGCTGCAATGTCTGTCACACTAACAGCTGTGAAGAGGGTTCAGAGTTCTCCAAACCTATTGGCCTCAGGTATCACCACCAACCACTGAGAAAAAACTGCTGAATGGCTTTTTTTCTGCTAATGTGCATTTCTGCCATATTACTTTGCCAGGAGGAGAAGGGTAGCACTATTTCCTATCACACTGACAGATGTATTACTTCTACAGTGCTTTTTAGAAAGTGTTCTTAATTCCTCTCTGCCTATGTTTAGTAGTCATTCATGAAAAAAATCAGGAATACTTAGGAAAAAATTAATTACATTTGTAAATTAATAAATTAGTAAATTAATTTTGCTTTTGATCTGTGTTTTGGGTCTCACACCCCCTGTATTTTCTTTCAAGATAACAAAGCATGAAAAAGATGTTTTACTTATTACAAACTTTTTACTGAAACTTGATTTAAAAACTCTTCTCAAGGAAAGGAATCTGAGTGTTGTTTTAAAATGATTGTCAGAAGCTAGATTAGTTTTAAAAAATAATTTATGAAGATTGTTTACCTAAAAATATTCATAACAAGTAAAACATACTAAATATTCATTAGACAGGCAGAACTGCATCTTATCAATACTTCTGTGTGTTTTTTGCAAATTTGATTTATTTCTAACACAAATTAATATTGGATATTTCTTTTTCAGGGTCTGATTCTCAGTCTCCAGATTCAGGTAAATGAAACACTGTATTATTTATGTATCAGTGTAATACCATGTAAGTGGATTAATTGCAATAATCTTCTATTTATTTGATTTCATTATTCCATACTTCCTCATTCTTCAAGGGAAGCACCTCTGAAATTAGGTAATTCTAATTGTTAATGGTTAAGACCTCAAATTCAGGGCTCATTTGAAAGCAGTAATTTCATGTAACACAGAATATGTTGTCAGAAAAATGAAATGTGTGGGAAAAAACCAGACTGCTAATTTGCCACCTTTAGCTTCATCACTGTGGCACCATTCAGTGGTACTTGCTATTTCCTTTTTAGTGCCTTACTCAGGATTGCAAGTTCTGCCCACCTTCACTTAGCAGCCTGCTCACATAATGTGTCACTGTTCCCAGCCTCTTACGGTATTTTGTCTTCAACATCTCCCTCTGTGTTTGGCCAACGCTTTGAGGGTATTCCAGGTCTGAGGATGGAGAAAAAAAAAAAAACATGGTTGGCAGGAAAATAGAGGTGTAATTTAGATTTTGCAATAAGATTGGAACACTATTGGAACAACTAGGGTACTGTGGTGAAATTTTTGAAACTGCCATGACCAGCTAACCTTACATGAGTTGAGATGTTTTTCAAAATCTAACACAGCCATGAAGTTCAAGAATGTAATCTGAAAGTGAAGAAACTTGAGCCTGATTTATACAGGGGCTGAAGCACCAGCACCTCAAAAGGACTCTCAAGGTTAAAAATCCACAGTCTGTATGAAAATTGTGGGAAGATGTCTACCTGCCCAATACCAGAACTGTTGTCAATGAATTGTGAATTTTCTGAACTTTTAAAGATTAATATTTTGTAGAGTGGCAGCTTTAGCCATGTTCTTATAACTTCCATGGTAAAACAGCATCACTGTCAGTTGTGCAGTTTGTTTAGTAGGTGGGCTGCTATGTTGAGAGCAGTGCAGATGTACTAATCACACCCAAAAAATGGTTTCATTCTTTTCTATTTGCAAAAGCTTGGCGATCTTACAATGATGGCAGCAGAGAGACCCTGAATGGAGATGCTAGCAGCTCATCTCTTTCAGCAAAAGGCTTCAGGAGCGTGCGGCCAAACCTACAGGATAAAAAATCACCAACTCAGGTAAAACTGGACACACCACATTTAATGCTACACCACTGCTGGGGGTTAGCACATATGGATGGGATACCTCTATGAAACATTGCCTGATGTCTTGCAGACAGTGTGAATCACCTGCTCATGTGGGTCACTAAAGGCTGCTTTGCTGCATAGATAAAGCATACCCCACACAGGCTGTGTGCCCCCAGGTTAATTACCAGAATTTGCTTTCAGTGAGCAAGACTGCTAAATAAAACTAGGTCATACACAAGTAAAAGCTTTCTAGGAGTGTTCCCAGACCTCAAAGAATATTTATTAACAGTTTACACTTGGAAAAATCCACCGGTCATCAAAATATCTGAGGATTAAGATGTATTAATTATATGGTAGAAAATGCTTCTGCCTGTTTTGCAGAACAATGTAATTAGAGCTTACTAAAAACAGAAACAAAAAAAAAAAAAAAACAACCAAAAAACCACACAACATAAACAAAAAACCACCTCCATGCTTAGGAACATCTTTATCTGTCAAAAAAAAAATCAGCATACCAATTTTAATACTCTCTCTGGTACTATTTTAATTCAAAAGATTAAGAGGCTCTGTGTTTTATATATGTGTGTTACCTGTGAATAATTGCTTGCTATCTAAGATCATGGAGTACTTACATACCTGAATGCTTTCACAGCAATAATTCTTTTTCAGTGTAAGAATTGTTTTTTTAAAAGAAAACGAATGACTGTGGGCTTCCTTCTGATCCTTTCTGATCCCACTTTGGTCTGAGTAAACGGAACATGTGGCTTTTTAAACAGAAGTTGCACAGGAAATGGTGGTGGGAACCTGACCAATTTAGTTGTTCATTGACTTTAGCAATGTTGAGATGAAGCCCTTTAATTTGCTAGTTCCTTTGTTTAAATATAAAAGTAAAACTGAACTATATCTCCTACTAACATTTACTTTCTTTCTGTTTCTTCTTCAATGTTATTTTGCTCTGTGTGGATGCTTTTGGCAAATAAGGCACCTCTGCCACCTCCTAGAAAAGAAAGCTTTCGGAAAGCAAGAGTAACTAATCCCGAGAACGAAATTAATCTCCAGGCAGGAACTGCTGGCCCAGCTAAACACCTCCTCTCAGATACTGCCTATTACACTAGTGAGACATTTGTGCAGGAGACAATGTCTTCTCAAATATCTAACACAAGTGTGTCCTATGCACAGAAAATCATTAAACCCCTGCCCTCAGTCTCCAGTGCAGACACAGGCACAGTAGCTGGCATTAGCACCACTCTCCATCAAGGCCAGAGGCAGCAGTCTCAAAAACGTAAGATATCTACCCTGAAATTAACCCGGACACGTGACCCAGCAAGTAGCATTCCTTGTCATTCACAGCAACAGCTCAAGCCTGTTGAAGAGCCAGGGTTTTCACAGAGGCCTGTCTCACCTGCCTGTAACCCCCTGCCTGAGATACACACAGCATCTCTTTCCGTTCAGATAGTTCCCACCCCTGACAATAAAGCAGAGCCTGAAATCCAAGATCATCCACCTAGTATTTCTCCAGACACTTCAAAGATGTCTTCAAAGGATTTGGGACAAAAGTCTACAGTTCTTCCTTCTTCACAGGCTGCAGAATGCCATGTGGTATATTTAATTTTTCCATCTTTTATTTTAGATCTTCATGAATCACTTAATAACCATCTGTTTAGTTATACTTACATTACCAAAGTTAGATCTTGTGTTTTCTGGGTAAAACTACCTGTCATGTGGACCAAAACAGAAATGAACAAAAACTGAAGGTTTTGGAAGGTTATTGAAAAAAAAAAACTTAGCTGAGATGGAAGGCAGACTTCTTTATTCATCTGTGAGCACTTTACAGAGTGCAAATGCAACATAGGAAATTAGTGTACTGTAGGTGATGCATCTGCTCAAGTGGCTCTTCCTAGAGAGGATTGCATTAGAGGGTTATGCTGCCTTAGATGCTGGAAGGATCAAGCAAGGTTGAGTTGGATTGGGTTGGTTTGGGTTGGGGGGATCTTAAATGCAGCTGTGTCAGATTTCTAGGGCCACAAAAAGTAAATTTTGTGAGTCAGTGCTTTCTGCAAGGCTGGGCACTGGCATCTCCTATGTGTCCTGTGCAAAAGAGCTTTTTAAAGAAAATGGGTCTGTAAATTCTTTGTCAACAACCTTCATATGAAACATCATGGGGCACTGAACTTCTAGGTCCATCTGTTTCCCCTATACCTTACACCTACTGAAATGAAAATTCTTTAACTGTGCTGATCTCACCTAGGAGGAATTGGAGTATCAGACACACAGTGTAGGACCAGAGGAGGCTGAGCAGGGTTTGTCACCATTCAGAAACTGCCTGAGTCAAACAAAATAAGTCTGGGCACAAGAAAGCAGCAGTGAATACATACTAGGCAAAAGAAGAGCTCTGAATAGGCTTTTTAATTTCTACTCTGCTTTATGTAGCCACATTAGGGTTTTTCTATTTAAAAAGATAATTATTTTAGTACATCTACCAATATAACAGCTTATCTGTGTTTGAAATGGATGTACAGATTGCTGTAGGTCTAGGCATGTCTGCCTCAAAGCTTTGTCTGAGGGAAAATCCCATCATGGCATATTTGTGTTCATCTAGTTCTGCTGGAATCATTGAGGCTACTCCGAAGTAAATACAGCACTATCTTGTAAATTAAAAAGTCCATTTACAGCCCTGTTGTCAATAATAGTAACACCTCTGCTTTTCCAGACTGAGGTTCTTTCAGAGCATCACATTTAACCAGGTTTCTACTCTGGAAGACATAAGTATCTGCATTCTCTCTCCAAATGCAAAGCAAAATTTTTAATCAGAACAGAGCTCTGTTAAATTATATGGCAACAGTCTGCAATGCTCCTTTTGAATTCTCTCCATTAAAAAATAGGAGCACAGAAGCAATAACCACATTTTTCCTCCTCAAGACTAGACACAAATCTGTCATCTTAAATCCTTCTTTTAGACTGCATAAAATTTAGAACATTTTGAGAAAAAACAAGTTGCTTTACCCTTTAGAAGAACCAGTATGCTACTCAGTGATTTTTGTCAGGTAAGACAAGTCAGTTCAAGCAAGAGCCACAGTAAAGAATCCATGTCAGAAACAGCAAGGAAAGCTGAGCCACAGCTTTTTCTGGTAGATAGGGTAGATAGAAGATATTGCAAGTCTTTTAAATATGGGTATCAATGGATACTGTCAAACAGCAGAACAGGTGTAGGTGTGGCCAATTCAACTTTTGCATCTGTTATCTTTTCACTTAAAAATAGTTGCTCAGCCTGTTAGAATATTATGCATTATATATGGGCAGATAAATCTCTCAAACAGAAAGTATGATAGCTAATAAAGATTAGGGGAAATATCTTTTTATGATTAAGAATAATACTCAAAGTTGAATCAAAAAAACTAAAAATAATTCATCTTCTAGCTGCTATTTTGGAATTTTAGAAGTCAAAACACATTTTGCATTAATTTAGAATCACATTAATTTAGAATCTTGTTTAGTTTCACTTCAAGCTGTAAAATCAGAAAAGTATCTGTGGCTTATTTGGCAATTCTGCACTTAGTTTTCTGCTTTCTCCTTGATTTCAGGATGTGGGAAGCACTATCAGAAATTTGGTGACTGGGTTGCTCTGAATAAAAGGAGAAAAATTTCACTTGATCACAGAGATCATTAAGTCATGTAGCCATCTTTTCAAGCTGTATCCCTTTATGGATCTCTTATCTGCAAAATGCAGCTGACATTTTCTGTGGTGTTCAATTTTGAAATAAATTCTAATGAAAGGGGGCGTATTTGGCATCACAATTGAGTGGTGGAGCCAGTGGGTTTTTGTAGCTCCTTGCTAAAATACATACCAAAAACTAGAGTACAAATCAGCATGTGAGATTGTGTAAAAATGTGCATCAGGTGAGTTCCAAAAATGAAGATGCCATGAACTAAGATTAGAAATAAAGGCTGCAGCTATATGTTTAAAAAATATTTATTTTCTGACTCAGGTCTCAGTTTAAAACCTTGAAACTGTTCTAGCTAATGCCAAATATTAAGATCCCTTTAGTGCTACATATCATAGTATTTGCAAAGGTCACAATTTCTCTCACATAGAAAATTAACTTTCATGCAGGATAGTATTTTCATTTTTTAAATTATTTTAGATCTGTAAGCTCTACAGGACTTTGTGTAGGAGTTAAATATTTTTTACCTGCAGCTTATAGGTTGTATGTCAAGCTCTGTCCTCAGAGGATGCTCTCAGACTGTAGATTAGGCCTGTCAGCAGTGTTTAAAGTTGCCAGAGTAACTCTCAAAAACCAAATAGACTTAGAAAGGTGCAACTCTCCCTCTGCAACTGGGTTTATGTATGTGAAGGAGAATGAGGTAAGATCAGGTAATTATCTCTTCTTAAGAGGTAGTAAAGAAGAAATACTGTGCATGTGGGTTATCTGTGTCTAGCCAACATGTACAACTGTATTTTGTCACAAAGTATGGAAATATACAGCCCAGAGGGAGCTTGTGTGGTCCAGGTTAATGTATCTTGCTGTTTGTGCTCCCATTTGCACTGAATTTCAGTGCTTATCTGTTGAAACTTTAGGAGCAAGCAGAAGTGTGCTATGACTCACTGAGTGACATTTTGTAAACACTCCTACTCAGATAAAGGTTAAACCCCTTAAAAGTATATATGAAAATAGAAGCATTCAGGTTACTCAATATTGTTACATTATTACAGTCCCAAGAGATGCTGCTTCTTTGCACCACACTGCAGATAGGAGCAATGACTGTATCCATCTCAACAGAGAAATTGGCATTTCCTAGTATGAAACCAGTAGAGGTAAATTTTATTGTCCAAGTTTCTTATAAGAAGAAGTTATAAACTGATGAAGAATTCTGAACTGCATCTTCAGAAATAATCACCTCTTTTTTTTTCTTTTTTTTTAATTATTTTGTTCCTGGGTTCCTAAGTGTCCTGGTGTTCTAGATATTACTCTCTGAAACTGAGGTTGCAAAGCACTTTTTTTTGTTATTTGAATTCCCCGGATGAATTGAACACTTGGTTTAATCCTGATGTCCTGGACGAGTAAAACATCTATAGCAGATTTTTATGAAAGTGTTTCTTTTGACAGCCTTATAGCTGTAGAAATGTGCATCAATGAAAATAAATACAGAATTAAAAAAAAATCTAAATCAATTCATCTAGTACATTTCTGAGTTTTAGGTATTGGCAATATGTAGAGTGATATGGAACAAAGAGAAAACTGGTTTCAGTATTCTGGGGACAGATGTGAAGTAAAGAAAATTTGGCAGGTATTTTTCATTTTAAGTTCTGCATTACTAGTAGTGCTTTAGACAAGGGCTGAACTACACCTCCTTATACTGAGTTTAGAATAAGAGGGCTAGGTAGAAAAATGGGAATTGGAATATAATTTGCAGCATTAGTTTGGACATTTTGAAATCAGCTTTTAATAATTAAAAATAGAGGTATTTTTACCCATTTATGCAAATGTATGGGTGTAATTTGATTGTTGATTACTAAACTCTGCTATGTATTAACACAATGAATTTATTCACTTATCTCTGAGTCTCCTTATCTGTGTCTTGACTGTTGAAGCAAGGCCAGGACTCTGGTGTCATTAATCTCACACCACTCCCCACATATCTTGCATTAATACAAGAGATGACTGATTTTGAGACCCATACTAGGGTCACCTGTTTACTTTATATGAATTGGATACCAGCTGTGCTCTTCAGGCCTGACATTTTACTATTTGATGGAAAAGAAGCATTTCAAAGGACCAGCAGATGTCTGCAGCAAAGGCTGCTCTTCAGACCTTCAATTCACATCAAGACTGATGACATTTATCTGTCTCTCAAGTGTTGCTCCACAACCCAAGACAGCCACAGTCTAGCTGGTTTTTCATCATTTGATTAAGTATTTGTTGGGCATTTAATCTGCCTGACTTCTGCTAGCATTTGTGCTGCTATATCAATAACAAATCTAATCTGAAGCATGCTGAATGGAGCCAGTATTAAAAGTTTTCTGAAATGCCTTCAGCCTTGTCTTTTTCATATTTTTCACAGTGAAAAATATAAGAAAATATGATTCATAGCTGAGATTGCATGCACAGTGAAAAGTATGAATCAGTAGTAGCCAGTTGTATGTGTTTGAGATTACCAACATTCCATGTCTTTTTAAGTGATTTAAATCAGTTTTCAAAAACAAGGCTGTTTTAAATCACAATTTCAGCCACTCTTTCCCACAGAAATGATTATATATATGAAAGTATTGTAGAGCCAGGCAGAATAGAAGTTCTACTCTATAAAGCCTAGAAGCTTTATGTTGGGAATCAGCTCCTAGAATTGCTGCATTCCTTCTGTCTGCATTGTAAGAATATCAACTTTATATTCTTTTTTAGAATTTGGCTCAAATAATCAGCTATTATTTGCCAATCACAACGAATTAAATTCTTTAAAATCTCAGTTTCATTAGCTCTCTGGATGCACCCTGAATATCTGTCCTTGTGTTGTCTATCCCTTCTTTTCTCAAGCATGCAAGAAATCTCCTCAGTTCAGAGCCAGACGGTTTACTAGATTTCTCAACTCCCCAAGATTTCCTGCTATTTTAACAAATAGAGATTAATTTACACATTTTGGCTCAGTCATATGTAACTTTTCTTCTGGGGATGCTGAGAGGATAAGTGGTCTCAAGAACTTCAGAGCTTCTTTTTGGCTCTGCCTCATAATTACAGCATGATCTGGTTCTTGTCTTTTGCTGGAGATCTTGATATGATTATCTGATGACATAGATGTTGAAAATCATCATGAATGATGATTCTGTCTCCCCTTTATGTACCTGTGAGGTGAAATTGCAGTTTCTTATATGTGTGTGTAAATGCTAACATCTTAAATATATTATGCTGTATAATCATCCTAATTTTTCATGACATCATTTTTAATAGTAGTCCATTGTTCTTTTGAAGTTTCCATTGGCAAATTAGTTCTCTATGAAAATACTGTGTCCTTTTACAGTCATACACTCAGTTATTGATTATTTTAATTAAGAGGTAATCTGTTCAGATCTCCTCTATGAAAAGATTAAGTTGGGGGGTGTTCAATTGTAGATTTGAAACATTGCTGTGAATAAGATTTGGATTTTAAGCTGTTTGACTAAGTTTCTTCACTGTTTTGACTGCAGATTTTAACAGCAGCTTTTGCCTATTGTTGTGTACCCTAGAGATCCAATGATGCCAAAGATTTATTTTTAATCAATTGGAACAATTGATAGTAATAGATATCTGTTCACATACTTAAGATTATTTTCTGTAACTCTTATTTATAGGGATGGTCCCATTGACCTCAGTAAGGTTATTTGTGTAAATTCTAGTTGATCTCCACAAGAATTATGCAACTGGAACCCCAGTGACCTCTTGTAAGTAGCATAATCTGGGTTGTGTTCCAAGTCTTCCACAAGGGCTTTAGAAGATATTTTCAGATTTTGGATTAAAATGCCAAAATGGCATTTTAATCTGATGGCTTGAAACATTTTTTGAATGATTAAAGACATCTGCCTAGTCTAAGCATAGGAAATATCCATATTACTGATAACAAGGTGATATGGATGACTGAATGTTTCTTTTTATAGTGGTATTTACTACATATAGTGTCTTACTGTCCTCTGTTTTACATAAATTTAAAATCCCAAACAATCTTTCCCAATAGCTTTTCCAGATGTCCTCAGCCCTATCAACAGTGAAACCCTTAGTGCTGAAGTAGGCAGCATTTTGAATACTTAGGAATTAATGGAAAGCTTGTGGTTTAATAGGCAGTATAGAAGGATTTGTGTAGCTGTTTAACAAATACTAGATGCCAACATGCTTTAGTTCAAAAAGAAGTTGCAGATGCAAAAAGCCACTTGCAGGGCTAGTTTAAACTGAGTGGCCTGTGACTGATTTGAAATGACAGAACATAAAGCTCACGCATTGTGTGGCAGTTTTCAGAAGCACTCTCAGGAGATTGTTCCCTTCTACTTTTAAGGAACTGTGCTGAATCCAAACTGGCATGTTTTGTTTCAGTATGTCCTGTTCTTGTGTTCCCAGTCTTTGTTCCCCAGATTTATACCAGTTACCCTAACAATCCTTATGTCCTCTAATGTTGAAAAGACTTCTATGCATACACTTCATAGAGTAGGTTGTGACAGGGTGCTTCCAGGGTGCTTGGAAATTCTAAGATCATCCAAATATTTTCATTAGAGAGGCAGTGGAGAAGTTGTATTCAGCCACAAGAGGCAAAAAATTCTACCAGCTATTACTTGCAGATCATATGAATAGTCATTATGTGTGTTCCTGTATATCTGGCAGTCCTGCTCATCTTTATATTACAGTTAATTTCAAAATCATGCCTATCCTTGACAAAATAAGTGTCACATTTACCGAGATCAGACTTGCAGATACATTTTTACTTTGAAAACTACATGGACATGACATTCTCTAGCCTCATATATATGTGAAGAATAAAATAGTGTGACCCCCTCAATGCACAATGGAGATCATTAATATTGCAGTACATTATGAATATTCATCCTCAGCACACTATGGTTTCTGGCATTGCTTCCACTAGTATTTTATGCATTCATTTCTTTCATGTTGTCCTACTCTAATATAGAGCATGGTTGATTTATTTCCTAATCTTTGTAAATGTGAACTTCCTTGGGTGGCTGAAAACCTTACACTTCTGTAATCTCCCTACACCCAGCAAGAGGCAAAGGGAAAAAGTTCTTTATTCATTAAGTAATCTGTTTCTTTTCTTATTTTTTTTTTCCCTCAAATCTCAGCTTGGAAACCAGAAAGTAACTGCCCCTGTGATGGAGGTAAATGCTTCACAGACACACAGACAAACAGCAACAGAAGCTTCTCCACTGCCTCTTCCTTCTCCTGTGGTACCAGTTAACAGAGCCTCTTTCTCACCAGACAGTGGCACCCACCCAGTACCATATTCCTTGCCAACGCTTGATGATTTTTTGCCTTCCCTCTTTGATCAGAGCCCAGCCCTGTCCCAGTGTCCATACAAATGCCCGTTCCTGGCTGCTGCCAGTGCTGCCCCCAGGAACAGGAGCGAAGCAGCCTCTGTGAGCACAGACTCTGCCATGAGCGAGTGCTCCTCGCGCACGCTGAGCGAGTGCTCCACTGCCATCCTAGATGAGCTGCAGACTTGTAGCTATGATACCACTGACTGCTCTGAAACACCTTCCCCAACCCTGAGCCAGATGTCTGCTGTGTCAGATGGCACCACCTTAACCAACACTGCTGCCACCTCTCATGTAATTATGCTTCCTTTTTTCCTCCTCCATTTTGTTCAAACAGGTTGTCAGAGGGGAACAGAGTTCGACCTTGTCTGTTATCCCATTACACAGACAAGTATTTTGGTAGTAATTTTCCATGGTCACAGTCTGACAGTGTTTTGTAACAGTTGTTAAAAAAAAAATCATTGGCATAGCAGATTTGGGAGTACGAAATGATTGCTGCACAGTTGTGAGTGGTCAGCTAAGGTGTATCAAATGCCTTGCTTAAAAAAAATCAATTCAAGAAATACTTGTTCCAAAGTATTAAAAGCAAGCATTCCATGGAGCTTGAAGAAATTTGTTTAAAATATTGTTATCGGTTTACAGGTTTTTGGAGTCTGGACTACCACCATTTTTGACTTACACTGAGATGCAGACTTCAATAATGTTATTTGTAAATTCATAGTAAATGTTCACAGTATTTAATGCAGTTTTTTCCCCAGCCATGATGACTGCACAAAACTGGTTTTCTCTCCTCTAATTAACCTTTTCCTTTCCTAAATACAGTTTCTTATAGGACTGAACTGCATAAATAATCTTGAACTATTCAAGTGTACCGTTACTTTTCTCTTGGTGAAGTCAAGGGAAAAACCAGTATGCAGTTAGACACTTTATAGATACATTCAGTTTTCTGTACCTTAGTATACTCATATGTGGGGAGAAAGAAGGTATGGAATCTGGGTCAAACCCAGATCACTTTTGATTTCTTTTGAGATTATCCACATGATTAAAATGAGTCAGAACAAAGCCTTCATTTAAATTGAGCAATTCATTGCTGAATTGCAAAACAGAGAGATGTTCTGAATCCAAAGTTTTACTGGGTCACAGCAGTGTTCAAACTTTGTATAAATTCTTCAGCATACAGTAATTTTCAAGCCTGAAAAGAACAAACAGTATATATATTTTTTTAAGCTTTGTGTATAATTTATAAAAAGTATTTTGAGTCCAGCCTTGCACATAGTCACCTGGAAAGCCAATGATTGGTTGTCATTGCTCTGGATGCTGCTAAAAAATATTAATAGCAGTCATGTAAAAACTTTAATTCTTAACTTCTGTAACACAGCTCTGAAAACACTGGGGTTTCTTAAGAATCATTACTATGAATCTGCATAAAACACAGTAATTGTAGCCAAAGATACCATAATAAGTATAGACTGGTCAGACAGAGTCACCACATGACCATTTACTAGCTATGGGAAGCATGGAATGTTTATATTTTCTTGTAGCCTACTTCTAAAATTGTCAGCTAATTGTATTTGTTTTCTTTGAGCATCATTTTTTGCAAGTTAAAGTGAGCAGTTGGTCCTTCTGTCTCTTTTTGGGTTAGTGTCCCCGTAGAAGGCTATGTAATGGTCAGGTCTGACCATCACTTTCTCTTTTACACATGGCAGTGATGAGCATAATGTTTATTCACTGTTAATGGACAAAGCCAAATGAAAAAACACTCACCCAAGAGCAAAAATCACCAAGTAGTCCTAAGAACCCCACAGAAATTAAACTGCTGGCAAAACCCAACTCTGCAGTATAGAAAAGTCATCATCTCCCACTCTCTGTAGAGAAAGTCCAGATGGCTAAAAATGCATCCATGAAATGAAAAACGTCTTGAAGGATTTTACTTCCTTGTAAAATCTGGGAATAAACTCTGTCACCTGGACCTAAAGTGTCACATTCTCAGATTGAAATGTCATTAACTACCAAATTATTCCAAGGGAAGAAAAGGCCTTTGAAATTTTGTTTAACTGTCTTCTCTAGCTAACCTTGTAAACCGTGCAAGATGCAGCAGATGAACAAATGAAATAGCCACCTTCACAGACATTTTCCTCAAGGAGAAAATCATTAGAAACTAAAAAATTATAATTAAGCTGAGATCTTATCTAAGACCTTCAGAAGCAAACCCAGAAATGTCATGAACATGCCACATACACATATATGACTGATGTCCTTCCACTACTTGTGTGGGTCCTATTTTCATGATATTTTGTACTACTTAGTGTAAATGCCTTGCTGTCTAACTGAGCTATTTGGTAAAGTCCTTCTCTGGAATATCTCAGTCTTTTATTACAAAAATTCATAGGAGTCTGCAAAGAACTCACACCAGTTCTGCTCAGAGAAGCAAAAGCCATGGTAAATAAGTAAGAGGGTGTAAGGCTCTGCATGTAGTTGCACCCTGCCTTCCCTAGAAACAAGCTTTCCCAAAGATAATATGTAGGAGAAGAGAATGGGTGAACCCCTGAAGTAGAGGAGAGATAGCTGGCCTCAGTTTGAAAACTTATCTGAAAACATGCCTTCATTGAAATGCTGTCTTTGAGTTATGTAGCTTTTCTATTCTTCCATCTCCAAAGCTGGGTTTTTTTGCAGGAGAGGGTCATGGAAGAAAAGCCAGCTTACTTTTGGTTCTGGAGTTTATTAAGAGAGGAAACATTTACACACAAAACTTTCAATGGAGACATCACCACGACAGAAACTGTTCAGCTCATTTCTGAAAACAGACATCCTTAAAATGACAAACCCCTGAATGCATCTAGGAGTTCACATAATGTCTGCATAGGACCCAGAAATGGTTTTTCTCCCTTAGCTATGAGAGGCCAAGATGTTAAAAATTTCAAATCAATTCAGTAATCTCCGGAATACAAATGCATACAGAAGGTCATGAATATTTTAGTTTTTATTTGTAAAAATAATATGCATTTTAATATGTTTTTATTTATGCTTTGCTGCTTCAGGTAGTCTCTTGTTTACATCTGCAGCATGTTTTAGTTCATTTGTTATATAAAATTGAGCCAATTTTGTAGTTCTTCTAATTCAGATTTAAAGAACAGTTCTGCATTAAAGGAGATGTTGCAGAGAGCTTCACTTGCTTTTCTGCTGAAATATTCACTACCCTCTTACTTCATTCAATGCTTTCTCAGCATCTCAGTTTTGATTCTTTCAATACTCCCTGTAAAAGTGATGCAGCCCCAGTGCAAGGATTCTAAACCTGGGGGCAGATAGTTTCCTCTTGTGAAGTGCCTCTAGTGACTAAAGCCTAAATGGCTTTACGTGCTTTCTGTTTTTTCCAGTTTGCTTAGCTCTCCCACTTTTGATTTTGATTTTGTTCTGTCATTTTGTGATTGTGGGTTGTTGGTTTTTTAATTGGTGCTATTTATTTTTATTGTGATAGATTACATATCAGCATGCCACAGTCACTCCAACTGAGTTCCATTTTTTAAAGAATTTTTTTTCATTCTTCTCAGCTAGTCTTAATGAGACTTTTCCCTTCAGTCTGCACAGAAGTTCCCATTAATATCCATAGTGCTTGAGTATGTGCACTAAGGGAATATGTCTCTTGGTGTGAGGGATCTGTGGCAGACAGCCTTTGTCACACAGTGTTGGGAGCTTTTACTGCCATCTTCATTTTATATTGCTGTCAGACATCTGCAAACCTTGTTTGTGCCATCTTCATTGCCTTGACCATGATCTCTGTCACCTTCCCAAAACAGCATGCGTCACAGCCAGCACACACAAGGAGGGAAGAGGGGAGGTACAAGATATATAAGGGCCACACTCTGCTCCCTTTGTGATAAGCTTTGTGTTTCAGTGAATGCAGATGCGATTAGGCTGTGTACCTGACAACTGGGAATTGTTGCGTGGATGACAGTCTTGCATCACTCTTTCTTTGGGATTGCAGTTGGAGAGCTTTGTGTGTAGTTTAATGGGATATTGTTTTGTCTCTCTTAGGCTCAGATCACAGTGAATGGGAATTCTGGCACTGCTGCCAGCCCAGTGAGTCACTTTCAAAGGCCTTTTTCCCCTTCTTCAGCTTACCCTCCACCAGCTTCACTCAATTCCAACATTGTTATCATGCAGCATGGCAGGATGATGGGTAAGCCTCACACAGAATGTTTGCTTTATACATTACACAACGAATTCTGATTCATGTGGTAAAGACTGCAAACAATTGCAGAGTGCTTCACGTCCATAATGAAGGTATTGTCTATTCATCTACCTTGGGAAGTAAATGCAAAAACATAATAGCATTCATTGTTAGGTACAGCAGTGATCCTGAACTGGAGTTACTGTTAAGTTTTATAACCTAGGTGTGTGAGCTAACCTCTTGCCAATTTTCTACTGGCTTTACCAAGGAAAGGGCATCTATCCAAATCACTCAACCTGTCCAGCCCTTTCAGATTTTGCCATAAGAAACTGAGGGCCCACTTTGTACTTTGCTCCTCCCTACAACTTCCTTAATTCTTCAGCAGAAATACTGTCAACAAAGGGAGAGGCTCTGGGCTGTTAAAAACCTAAAGCCACATCAATCTCAAACTTGTTTATGTATTTTTTTAGAGCATCTTTAATGTAAAAATTAAACACAAACCAAGTACTATCAGCCTTAGGCTCTTTGCCAGTCTTATCCCATTTTGCCAAGAGAATAATTTACTTGCTTTTTCTACCAGTGTTGTGCATATTTAGAAAAGATTATGCATGCAAAATAACTTGAATGTGGTCCCACAGTTTACATTTTTTTTTGTGCTTGCAGGGAAATTAGGTGACAGTTCTTGCTCTGAGACATCTTAGACAAATGCTGCTGTCATCATAGTGATAAGTACAAAAACTGTATACATGGGTTACTCCAAATCCCAGAATTCTAGAGTTTTTGAGTGCTTCCAGTTTGCTGATCTAAAGATCTATCAGTACTGGTTTGGATGTTCTTAAAATATGTATTTTCCCAAGACTTTCACTCTTGTATGATGCTGAAGTTCAGTATTCCACAGTAAGAGCCTGATTTAATTCTCTTTGCTCATGTAGAAATCCCCCTGATGGCCTCAGTTTGAGGCCTATGAAGAATGAAGGATCAAATCCAAAATGTTTTCTAAATTTAACATCATGCATTTTGGGAAAAAGTTCCAAATATTCAGACGTTTGCCACACAGAGTTGCCCCTCGCCATATATGTGTAGCACTGAATTATTTACAGGATTTCAGACTTGAGTAAACAGCTGAAACAGCCATGCCAAATCCAGCACTGCAATGGGAGTGAGCAGAAATATTCAAATTAAAATTAGAGCTTTCAGTCACTGGAGCTCCTTTTACTGAGGAGTCACTGAGGCTCATATTGCAACTCATATTTTTCTTCAGAATAATCAGTGGATATTAATGCCACATGAAAGTCAATTTTTATTGTCACCATTAGTGTTAGAACATATATTTTTACTTCCTGCATTCATTTATTCTGCAGCGGAAACATCTCACTTTACCTGAATTTGCAAAATAGAGGCTTTGTAATAGCAGCCCACTAATTTACTGAAACCTGCTGCTTGAAGGAGGAGGGCTCTTTTTCCTGTATACAGGAAAGAGTGTATTGTCTGCAGAAGTACAAATTTTCATGTCACATCCCAGCACTGAGGTGTTTCTTGTTAAGTTTTGGTCTGCATTTTAGAAGGAAATAGTAATAGTGATGTATTAATTTCATTAGTTATAAAGGAAGATTTAAGGGGGAAGGGTAGAAATATTGCAGGTCACCATAAAACAGTATCAGCTTGAACACTTCACCTGAATTACTGTAGGTGGATCATCAGATTGCTCTACAGGTGCTGGGTTACAAAAACCATTTTTATGGATTATACATGTAGTCCCATAAACATATCAACACATGTTAAGAGAACACTATATGTCAGGATTTTTTGCTTTAAAATATTCATGCATCAAAACTTCATGTTTCTTAGCATGTATGACATAAGTTTTTGTGCAAGGCTGTCTTCTGTGCTTAGGGAGCAGCAATTTCTATAGTTTGCTAGGCTTGGTGGGTGGAAGTTTTGAAATTATGTCACTGGTTTCCAAGGAACGGGTAGAAAAGGTGCAAAAGTTTGATTTATAGGAGAAGGGCTGCTGCACCTTTCTCAACAGATCTTGCTATGTTTGTGGGGTTTTTTTCTCTTTTTATTGAGCAAGACATTTGTCTGGTCCTTAAATAAGTTTATAATTCTGCATTAAGTAGTGCATTAAGTAGTGGAAATCCCGAGTTAAGATGATATTTCTTTAAAAAAATGTATATGTATGTGATTAAGATTGTCAGCCTTTGTACAGTGTACTGAAATGGGGAAGTATGTTTTAACTGCCAAGTATGATTATTGAGTCATTACACAATTTTCTGTCATGTTATCTTTACAGAGTCCACAGAGACATACTCACAGCATGTTCAGAATGTTGGCACCACCACCACCACCAGTACAATACCAATCTGTAGATCCTCAGAAGAAGAAAAAAAAATTACAGTAATTAAAGCTCCACATTATGCAGGGATTGGCCCGGTAGATGAATCTGGAATCCCTACAGCAATTAGAACGGTAGGAAATTCTGGGAAATCTGTGTATGAACTCATACAATGAACTGATTGTTGGTAATGGGTTTTTCACATTCTTCTACTCTTATATAATTTGGAATAGAGCGTGTGTAATCAGCAGCCTTGTGAATATAATATTGTGTGTTGACGAAAAGGAGAATGCTGATGGGAGCATAATTGGGCAACCTCATGTTTCTAGTTTTAATTAGAAGTAGCCAAAATTTTGTGTCTTTCTTGTGTCTCTTGTAGTTCTTGCCTTTTGGAGATGCACGGTAATTGCATTTGGTTTATTTCTGAAATAAAGCATATGCATACTATATATATATATATATATATATGTATATATGTGTGTGTGTGTGCAAATAATCATATGTACATCTGTGTGTATATGCAAAAATCTTACACCTCTGCATTTTTGGGGCAGTGTTCTCATGTCATCAGGGTAGTGTAGAAATGTGCAGTTTTGTTCTGCTGGCAATCTAAGGGAGCAGCATTTTTGTGACAGTGCAGTAAATAATCCTTGTGCCCTTGAGTGACACATAAGCGAATAGCTGGGGAGCCCTTTCATTGTGCAGCCCCGTTCTAATCATCTGCCACTGGTCACTGCTTGAGTGGTCCCAGGATGTCAGACTGAAGAGTTTTGTTTTCACTATGCTGAAGCATTCTTTCCACTCTGCTGTCAGGGCAGCCTCTTCTGGCCGCTCCAGAGAGCGCAGAGGCAGCTGCACTAGGTCTGTAAAGGCAGCACTTGCTGGCCTCCCCAGCCAGAGAAGAACTGCTGTGCTGGACGGACAAAGGGAGAAGAGTGGGAGCCAGGATGAAAGCGGCAGAGCCCTTGCAGGTGAAGTCTTAGTGAGGTGCAGGGATGTAGCAGCTGTTGGATGTATCCTGTCTGCCAATATTGACATATGGGGGGCTATGTTGTATTGCCAAGAATTGCTTCAAGGGACTGAAAAATTAGAGGGGAAACCAGGAATTAATGGAGAAAATCACTAGGAAAAAATCAGGATAAGTGGTAAGATGGGGACAATTTTTATAGGAATGGGGGAGAAACTCTGGCATTTCATGCTTTATTTATGACATTAAAAAGTTATATGATCAGGATCTTTTAAAAATGAAGACATTTCTTTCCAGCAGTGCTCTAGCTTTCTGTCCTCTTTTTAAGTAAGTAGTCCCTTGCTTTATATTGGATATGGTAATTGGTTTTGTGCTTTTTTAGTAGCAGATTGTTCTAATAGGGTGCATATCAGTTATATAAGATTATAACAGAAATCCCCCTTAAGTGTGCCTAATGAAGCTGGCAATCTGCCAAACTATATTTAACTTTCAGGTTGTATGATCTGAGTCTTTCAGATTTTCTCTTAAAAATATAATTCAGTTTGAATTAGGACATTTTCCTGCTGGTTTTGCTTTGATTTTTGGTGTGTTTCAATTTCAAGAAATCTTATAGCCTGTAATCTTGCTATTATAGAAATAATTCTCACAATCAGATAGAAGTTAAAGCTTTATGCTAGCGTGTGTATGTATGAATGTATCTGATGTGCCATTTTGCATCCTTATTCTGCTTCCTTAAGGCATAGCTGATAGTAAATTTGTTTTCAAGATACTTATTTGAGATTACTTTATAAGTGTGCACAAGTATATTTGAGCCCTGTGTATCCCAGCTGAGCAAGAACAAAGTTGGTATAGTTGTCAGCAAGACTCAAATATGCTGCACCTTGCAAAACTGCTAAAAGTGCATTTTCCATTAATAGTAGAAGGTAGAGTATATCACCTGCCCTTTCTCCAAGGTGAGTGAGCAATCCAAATAGGAATCTTCTCCCAGAAGGTTCACCCTCAGTCCATCTGAAGAGAGAAGTTTTCAAATTAATTCAATTTATCATTGCACATAAAGTTTAGAAGTTTCACTCTTCCCTCTTTGCAAAAATGGCAACAGTCTATCGAAAAAGCAGTAAATGAAGATTCAGGGGTGATAGGTAACACTCACTGTGTTCCAAAATGCTGTGCTGCTCGAAGTTTAGCATGTTATTAAGAACTCAGGAGCATCTGTGTTCCAGATTTTGAGTGCTTCTTAGGAGTAAAGAGATTTTGCAAGATGTGATCGTCTCCTCCGAGTCTGTCTTTACTCTTAGATCATGGTTCGAGACAGCTGTTTAGCCAAGGAAAACAGAAAGATGTTCTTTCTATTCCTGCTAACCCATTTGTATCAGGCTTCTGAGAAGGGAAGGATTCCTATAAAGCTTTTTATTCACTCAGAACCCCTATCCCATGTTAACATGTTCCTTCTGTGCCACTTTAGCTCTTTGTAGCTCTGGGAAATGCAAGTCTGAAAATTCAGATTGTTGTTAGGTTCTGCCTTTGTGCCAAGCCCTGCCCCAAAGATGGTAAAATTCCAAGACACTAAAAATGAAGTCTCTGAAAAAGAGAGGATAAAATTCTGTACAATCAGAAAAGCATTCAGTCAAATATAGCACAATTTACCACTGATGGGGACCTGGGAAAGGAAAAGCCAGATTCATGGTATGCAGTAACGCTACACTGTTTTAGTCCATCCAAAATGAATATTTATATCTAATTATCAAAAATAAATTGGTAGACTGAAAGGCCTCTACTTAGTAAGACGGAAAAAAATCAAGTCCTGCTAGGTTTCTTTTCCATACTTAGTGGTGTAATATTTCAGCTCAGGAAAAAAACCACAAAAAAACAGAGGTCCACTGAAAGTCTCAGAACATTCTGAGTTGGAAGATCCACAAGGATCATCAAGTCCAGCTCTAAGTGAATAGCCCATATGGGTATGCAAGCATTATTAGCACCCTGTTCCCACCAGCTGAACTAATCTCAGGGTCAGAGAGGCCTCCTTTAATTGCATACTTCCTGATGGATGATTACAATAGTGCAGGGATTACGGACTCTCCAAAGGAGCAATTGCAGTTACTTCTTATGTCCTCTACGTGCTGTTTGGCTGATTGTTTTTTTCACATACGATGATGCCGTGTTCCAACATTTAATTGCATCAGCTGTAATATATGCAAAGCAGGATGGCATCTGAATGGCTTTGTGCATTGTGAATACTCTTAATTCCTCAAACAATTTTGGTGTGTGGGATTAGTGAATATAAATTGAGAAAATGAATTCCAAAATTAATGTATTCTATTTCTTAATCCTGTCTGGTTTATAACATAAAGCCAAGTTACTGGCTGAGGCTGAAACTCCTAGGAGGGTTTGCTGGGAAGATGATGAGAGAAAGAAACATTCAAATACCCAGAAGGATGTTGGGAAACCTTCTCTACTCATGGAAGCTTCTTCATACCTGATCTCTGTGTGGGAGCCTCCTTTGACTTTGTGGAGGACCTGACAATGCTTGACAAACAGCAGGGACATGGCAGCAGTATTTATGCATTATTTGTGATTTGTTCACCTACCACTGGTTGGAAGACTCTCCTTGATTTAATACAATCAGAAAGGCAGGCACAATATCATGGGACTGTTGCTGTGGGAAATGAGGAGAAGCAGGGAGGTTATGTCCATCAGTGTGAATTGCGTCAGACTTCCTGGAATTGTAAACTTTTGAGCATATATCATCCTGGAGCACTAAACAGCATACTTGTTTCAAGTCCAGCTAAATTATTCTAATCAGAGTTCCACTAGTGTAGATATTTAAGACCTTTTGGGAAACAATATGAATATGACCCAAATCTGCTTCTGAATAGCTTACACTTGGCAGAACTCAGCACATTGGTAAGTGGGGGAAGGGACCTATTTTATCTTGAGACAAAACTGAACCTCCTTTACCTCTGTCTTGCAAGGCAGGCCTAGGTAAAAAGCATAACTCTGCTTTATTTTTTTCTTACCCAGGAGATCCCCAAATTCTTTGGGGAACTGACTGTCTGCTCTTATTTTAAACATTGTTCTAATAATAGTAGCAATTTTATGAGAACTCAATATAAGTCCTCAGAATACAGGACTAGGCAGACATGCCTAGTCCCTCATAGTAAGAGCTCACCATTGTAAACAAAACATATTAGTTATGTACAGATAACAAGTAATCATGGCAAAAGTGGAATTTAGTAAAGATGGTGAACACATGCACATCTGTCCAGTATTCTGTAGGGAAGAATTCATAGATTTTTGCTTTTTGTGCTAAAGAGGAGTAAGCAAAGTGATTGCAAATTTGGTATTTGCTGGTGCAAAATAATGCACTTCAAGAGAGGTCCTTTGAATTTTCCCTGTGTACCATGAGGTTTGAACATAGTGATTTTTGTGGATGCCCCATCCCTGGAGGTGTTCAAGGCCGCACTGGATGGAGCTCCAAGCAACCTGGCCTAGTGAACATTGTCCCTGTCAGTGCAAGGAATGTTAGAACTTGATGATCTTTAAGGTCCTTTTCAACCCAGGCCATTCTATGATTCCATGATTCTTTGCACTAAAACTTCTGCTTTTATGGCTACTGTGGAACAAGTAAAATTTTAGCACCTAAGAAGGATAATACTGTTTGCCTTTGTGTTAATCCTTTCCTGGAATATTATCATCCTCTCAAAGAAAATTGCAGTAAGAGAAAATTCAGAAGGGTAAGATAAAAAGAAGCACTAGCAGGAGTCAATATGAACAGAGTTTGGGAACCTTGGGATTCGGATTACTTAGTTTGCAAAAGTAAGGATAAATATAATTTAATGAGTGAATATTAAATAAGTTAAAAAAAGTTGTCTGGAAAGGGCTTTTAAAACTGTTAAAAAGAATACTCTTCGTCAACAATCCAAACATTAAGTCTGTAATATAGTGTGGTCTTAGTTCTTTTCTCAGTAGTATTACAAAGTTTTTCTGCATTATTTAACAATTATATTTAGAAAGTCATGTAAGCCAGAAATTGCCAGGGGGTCAAAAAAAGCATTCTTACATGTTTGTAATCATAACTGCTTAGGTGTTTCTATTTTCTGTATAGAATCTAGCATTCATCATTGTAAGATATAGAGCACTAAGGTGATGAACTGTTGATCTCGCAATAATTCCGATGTTCTGAACCATTATACCTTCCCAGGATCAGAGTCCAAGACAGACTCAGTCTTCAGTGTCTTCCAGAATTTGTTACAGGAATTCCATGATAAAATGCATAAATTAATTCAAAATAAATGCAAACTGTTATATTAAATAGGGAATAACATATAATATTTCTTTCCACAGAACATTAAATGTCTGATTCAATCTGTACACATGGGTATTTTTATTTTTTGTTAATTGTTAAAACTGTATTTTTTTCAGACAGTTGACAGGCCAAAGGATTGGTACAAGACAATGTTCAAGCAAATCCATATGGTTCATAAGCCTGGTGAGTCTGTTCTTGTCTTTTTCTCCTCATGTCCAGTTTGAGAGATGAGAAATTTTCTACTGTAGATCTCCTACCATCTGCCATTCTTTTGGAGAACTCCAGTGTTAGAACAGCGTGGGCTAGTAAACAGGCTGGCTTAAGGAAAAATTTTGTGCCTGAATTTAATTATTTTCATAGAATATCTTACTTGGTTTTGCTGAAACTGAGCTTTGGTGACATTCCTAGCTTTAATGTCATTTATGATTTGCCCCAAGGATGTCAGGAAACTGTGTAAATGGCAATTATGCTCATTATACCTCCAGAAGGAAGGAGACTACTCATCTCAGGTAGAGCTAACATTCAGTATGGTCACACAGAATGTTAGTGGGAGAATAAGAAATGTAGGCAGGAGAATGTTGGCTTACAGGCTCTAACTTGAACACTAGTCACGTAGTAGATATTTAGGATTGCCTTTTGTGATAGGAACAACAACTTAACAGTCTGTAGCAGAGGAACGCTGACAAAAGGAAGGAATCAAGCCTGGGAAGAGGAAAAGAACAGACAAAAAGTAATTTGCAGTTTAGTGCTAACTTAGTAAGTATGCAATATGAGTGACATGACCAGAAGATACAACACAGTAAGATGGTAAAAACAGCCTAAGTATAATGGGAAGACAGAGTTTTCCAAAAGCACCTATGAGACAAGGAAAAGAAATACAGTGCTTGATTGCTTACCAATCTTTGATTTGTATTTGCAAAGACAAAGCTCATTTTCTGTGATGAACTGGCATGTATGGCACTACTGTAACATATGTATTTCTTTTTGTAGATGACGACACAGACTTGTATAATACTGCATATGCATACAATACTGGTAGGAATTACTCCGTGTTCAAAACAACGCTTTGTTAATGTCAGCAAGTGATGGTGTAGTTAACTCTTCACGCTCGCTTTTGTAATGCTTGTAGACACATTTTCTAGTGTCTCGTTTGATCTCAGTTGTTCATGCCTTTTTTCCCCAAATGAAACAAGTTTTAGTTTCATTCTTACTACAGAAATTAATTGCAGCTGTGGACCTCCTACTGTAGAGGGATACACTTAACACTGTGGTTTCTTGATTACATTGCATTTATTTTCACTAGTGATTGTTAGTAACACGGCCTTTCCTTTATAGAAATGGAAAGGGAACTACTGTGTGAAAATGAAAATACTAATTACTAACATGGAAAGACAAAAATAATGTACTGAATACACTTTAAAAATATGCAGCGAGAGTGCCTAATAAAAATGATTTTTTTACAAACTTCTCCATTTTTGTTATAGTCATTCATGTTGACATAATTTAGCCACAAGAAAAGACATACTCATCTAAGATATATAATCTTTGTGTCGTAAGAAGATTATACCCATATGGTAAAATTATTTCCAAAGAAAGCAAAAATGAAAGCATGAATAGACTATGTGCAAAAAGGCTATAGTGCCTTCTGCAAAACAGCCATTCAAAAATCTTTCCATTTCAGTTTTTGTTGCATTAAACATGCTTTCAATAGTGCCTTTTTCTGTGCTGTTCAGATGACTTGTTGTGGGTCAGTGGTTTGGCATCTCTTTGTACTCTTGTGATCCTCTTCAAGATATGCTATTGCCTCATCATAACAAATCAAATAGTTATTAAACAATCAAAAAAGGTGTGTTTCCTGCCTCTTCTCTATCTTCTGAACATGGAACAACTGAGCAACAGGATGAGCCTGGAGATTAATTACAGGCTGTCATTAACAGATGTGATGGATGTATACACCCATTAACTTCTCCATCAAATTAATTTATTTTAACTGCACTGAAATTTGCCTATGTCTTTGTAATTTTGTGTAAAAATATATAAGAAGCTCTCTAATGAGCTGCACAATACACAGCAATGTACTTTTAAAACTCATTTGCACGTTTTTGTAATCTTGCCATTTTATGGAGTTACTGTGGGTTCTTGTAGCAGTCCATGTTGTGCTTTTTTAAGACTTACTCTCATGTTATGACTGTTTCTGGTTTTGTTTTATATTAGGTAGCTACAGTCCATCCTTCTCTGCTCAGGCACACCCAGCTGCAAAGACACAGACATATAGACCACTGTCCAAAAGTGCTTCTGACAGTAGCTCCGATGCCTTTAAGGTCTCATCCCCTTTGCCACCCCACGTGCCACCACCAGTACCACCACATCGTATGAGGCAACGCTCTACACCAGAAAAGTAAGTTTGTGCATTTTCAAAAGGTCTTCTTGATAAGTACAGTACTCCAGTTGCAGAAAATAACAAGGGATAAAACAGCAGCTCTAGAATAATATGACTTCAAGGGCTTTATTCAAGGGCCAGTCAGGTGATGAGGGATGATCTTTGCCAGGAGTCCAGGCATCATGCATGGTGCTGTCATTTCTTCAGTGTACTAAAGAATTATTTTTTCTTATTCATGATGCACCCATGAGCATCATTAAGGATTTTTATTCTCATTAGTGGTATTGTCCTGCTTGCTGAGTTTCAGAACAGTCTGTGCTCTAGGAGCTGTCTTCAATAGTTAGTCTCTGAGTAGGGAAGCCATTTATTGTATCCAGCACCAAAGAGAAAGCATCAAAAAGATGATGTAATTCAAAAGTCAAGGGAGAGCAAAGCTGTACAAGAGCATAGAAGTCAACCCACATTTCCCCAGAGTTCAGAAGTGCTTTATACCCCCATTTTTTTCAATCTCTATTTTGGTAGACCAAGGCAGTGTTTACAGATTAAAGAGGCATTTTGGATATCTCATAGTTCTCTACCCAAATTCTCTGCACAAAACCAAGTCCCACTGGTTAGAGTTCAGTCTGGAAAAAGTTAATAATAAATAACTCAGAAAAGAAGTACTTACCCTTTTGATAAAAAGGTAAGTACTTGCAAGAGACCTGCACACAAATTCTGTTGACTTCAGCATGTCTGTAGGTTCTAGCTCGAGAAAAAAATCTTCTTTACGTTAATTAATACTACCTGTTAATATAATAATATGCTATTATAAATCTATATGTGTGCCTATGCATATATTATATATTCAAAGGGTAATATTTTTCCTTTCATCTGTGCCTACATGCTCCTCTCTCTTGGTTACACTCAAGCAACAAAAGAGAATTTGGCCATTTCTGTCAGCTTGGATATTGTAAACATATTTATATGTAGAAATGTAATTATATTCAACAGGTTCAATTAATTAGCAATTTGAATAAAATAATATGAGAAAAAACCATACTAAGTGTTGAAAATTAAGACACAACTATGGCTTTTTGAAAAATTTCTCGCTAGTGGCAATCCAAAGTGTAGATCAGTAGATACACATACTGGAGAGGAAGATGAGATTGCTTGATGGTTACTGATTTTGGCTTCCAAGGGTAGGGCAGGTTGTCAAGAGGAAACGCTAAAAGTTACAGTTGGGCTGCCTCACAGAGGCCATGAGGCTTGAGGTCTGTTAGCAGGTCATACAGAAGTGCAGATTTTTTTAGCAGGATACCAAAATGCGGAGTTGTTTAGCTTTGATCTCTGAAGTTGTGTGAGTTGTTGTCCTGTGCTAGGCCAAATGCCTCTGTCACAGAAACTGAGGCCTCTTGCAGTGCACCTTGTCAAGCTTGGAAACAGCTGCTGAGCACTGAATTTGGCTATTTAACCTCCCCTTTTAATCTCTGCATGATGCAACATTCAGTGGAAATCTGTGTTCTCCAGGCCAAGAGATGCCAAACACATTAGCTATGCTTTGCCCACTGCTGAAAGCTATAGCTCATCAATCTTTTCCTGCCATTGGGAGATTCTTTTTTTAATTGCCTAAAAAGCCAGAGTATTTAAAATCTCACCTAAGAGGCTTAGGTCCACATATATCACATGTTTTATACCTGAGAGGCAAGATATGTTTTGCATTAGCAGTTGAGCTCAAAATATAGCCCTTACAGGATAAAAGGCTGAAAACTGTAAATTAGTTGAACTGAGTGTGAATCAGAATTTCAGTAGCATCCTTTTTTCTTCAGTGGCTTACAGTGTAATGCAACTTCACCTGAATATTTCCATTTTCCTATTCATTCTCAAAAAATGTAACCTTTTCTGCTCCGACAATAATTTTTTCCTCAGTGAAAATAAACAATAAAGCTGGGTAGAACTACTTCCCTTTAAATGTAGGGCATTTTATAAATAGAGATGTCTGTGTCCCTGAAATGCACTTGCAAGCATATTACAAACAAAAGCTACCCTATAGATCTTTTTAAGGCACATGACATGTGCATTATTATGTCAGGTCACATCAAACCAAGTCACGCCAGAAAGACCAATAGAACTGATAAAATTTAATCAGTGTGTGCTCTTTCTTATCAAATACAGACAATAGCTGGTAGTATTTCCCCTCCCCTTTCCTCCAACCTTTGAGTTACTAGTGGGTCATTTTACACAGAGTTAAATAAAAATATGTGTGAGCTACAATTTTCCAAGTAGAATGGAGGGAGGTACTACAAGAACTGCCATGCAAAGGTAGCTCCCACTGTAACTAGCTAAGTATTCCCCCAAAATGTATATGTACCTAGTAATATGACATAAGTGACTGAAAAAATATGGTAGCATGGGTTACTTTTTATTCTTTGCATAGCATTATTAAATTGAAAGCAAATTTGTAATTATAGAGAAAATGGCTACATTTCTATTCCAAATTCAACTGCAAAATTCTTCCTCTTGTGTATCTATTCAAGAAGCAATATGCTGCTTACAAGGTTTTCAGAAGTAATTCTACAATGATCAGGATACTGATCATCACGCGGTCTTTTAAAATAATTCCTCATTTTTTGCCTCAGAAAATTTTATAACTTTTTCAATATGGCCTTATTATCATACTATGTGATGACAAAATATCTACCACTTGCCTATATTAGTATAGTGCACAAAACATGTACAGTTATTTGCAATGGTTTGCATGTTTTTTTGACGTGGTATGCCAGGGTAGTTTTTAAACTGCTCTACTAGTTAAAAGAAAAATATGAGTGATCACAGATTGGACATCTCTAGTATTCTTCCTTCTGTACTGAGCATACTTGCTGTAAACAGGTTAAGATGTTACAGTAAAACACTGCAATGCCACAGCTGAGATCTGGAAATATGAGCTGTTCTGGACATCATCTGGCTTTGCAGGTTTCTGTTGTACAGGGCTGCAAACCACAAGGTGGTGACAGTAAATTAGCTCAGTTACCTGTATTTGTTGTTTAGGAATGACTGGGACCCTCCTGACAGAAAGGTAGATACTCGCAAGTTCCGTTCTGAACCAAGAAGTATTTTTGAGTATGAGCCGGGAAAGTCATCGATCCTTGAGCACGAACGACCGGTAAGACACACAAATGAAATGGGTAGTACAGTAAGAGATTTGGTAAGAGCTTATCTTTTTATTACTTACTATTAATAATTGCTATTTGGAAGAATATTTAAGATCCTTTTTCAAATACAATTTTGCAGCAATTTGTCTTTGCTCTTATCTGATGGTTGTATAGAAAAATTTGGTTTGGCTTATTTGCTTAACTTACATCTTCTGGTGTTTCCAAGGAATCACCACCATGCAAACCTCATGGATGATAGACAAAACAGATGGAAACTGCTTTTTCTAATTGGTGTGCATCTACAGCACTTATTTTCAGTAGTGTTAACAGCACATATGATATCTGAATAATTAATGCATAAAAAGAAGATATTTGCATTTTCAGGATATGCTGAATTGTATAACTAAGGAGATTTTGGTCAAATACTGGCCAAGGTTGCCCAGACAGGACTTGCCTGAGCACAGCCCAGAGCAAACTGATATGATTATTCCTACCTTTAGCAGGAGGTTGGACTAGATGACCTCTGGGGATCCTTTCCAGCCTCAAATACTCTGTGATTTGAGTGAATGTACATTATGAATGAGTATACATTAACATGTAATTAGAAGTCTTTATTCCTGCTTTCTGAATAATTATAGCAATTGTGGAATAAAGCTATGCTTAATGCTTGCAAAATGACAATTAACAGAAGTTTTCATTTGCTGAAAGGCACATTCACCCAGCTCTTCTTATTTAACTTTGTGCTATCTTAACATTTTCTTATTTTAGAAAAGCTGTTATGTATCAATGGTGATATTTTCTTTTCTTGGTCTTTTACTTTGAGGTTAAAATGTTTGAGGGAGTCCAGTTTTAAGGAAGAGGTTTATGAAATGAGTGCTGGATTGTTATTTGCTTCTGTATTACATGCTTGTTCACAGAATTGATTTTGCCAATTTAAAGCAAATTAAGGAAATGACTGAATTTCAGAATATGCAGTATATCAACTGTGTGAAACACCTGAACCAAGCACCTTTTCCTTTGTTTTTCTGGTCTTTGCAGGAATCTATTTTTTTGTTAGCTAGAAAACACAAAGCTCTTTTTCTGTGAAATTGAGTTCTTGCAGAATCAATGTGTTTTTCAAAGGGAAATGGGCATTTCTGTAGGAACTGGTAACGAATAATTATAATTAGTATCTGAGTGCAGATGAACTTAACAAATAATTTTATCTAAATGGCAGTGTCATTTTTCCTGAGCACTTCTGAGTGCCAAGGCTGCATTATAAACACTGAGGTAATTTTCCAGTTTTCCCAATGCCAAAGTGTAATAGCAGACTCAAGTTAAACATAAGAAAATTACACTGATTTCAGTGTATTCCAATAATGGCCTCACTTTTTTAATAAATTATATTTTTTGCTAATGTAATGTGAACAAAAATAATTCATATAACCATTGCAGTGCTGATGAATATTTTCAGAGCTATATTTTTTCAATTCTAGCAAACTAATGAAATAACAAGAAAATGAGGTTTGCTGACTGTTGCTGACTCTTTTTTCCCTCTTGCTTATGCATTTTACTTTTGCTAATCTGAACGAAGACATGGAATTTTGAGCTTTGGTCATTAAAATATTTTCGTGCAGAAAAGCATGAAAAATATTAAAATATTTTCAAGCAGAAAAACATTAGTCATGTTGTAGTCATGTTACTTACTAAGCAATATCCATCAAGGGTAAGGTCATACTTTGCCATCTTGAAGCTTAGACTAAAAGTTTAGGCTTAGCTGATGTACATACAAGGAACCATCTCATTGTATAAGAAATTTTTAAAGCTGAGGAAAGTACATTCATGTACAGAATTGAGAGATTTCTTTGTTTATGTATGATTCAGAGCTGTAAAAAATTGGAAATTATTATGAGATTCAAGTTTTGCTGACACTAGTGGAACATGGTTGAAAAAATTAGGAAGCTATCACAGTTTCATCAATCTGGAATGTCTACTGTCGATAAAGATGCTATTTAGCTTTATATAATTAACATAGTACCTTTGAACCATGTTACTAACAGGAAATTAATTGTTTTCACTGAAGTGAAAACAATTTGCTCTCCTTGTATTCACTGAATGGGATATAGAAAGTAAAACTTAACTTCTTAAAGGATGATCAGCAAAGCAAGTCAAAAGCTCTTTTCATTGTGTGTAGGAAAAGCTGACCTCTGAAAATAATGCACTGGTTCCAAATTCAGATGAAAACTCCAAATTCTCAAACGTATCAGTACTGCATGAATTAAATCTTCCATCTTAATAATCTCAAAATATTTTATTTCTAATGTCTGAATTTTTTTTTTATGATACTGAAGGAAAGTAGTAATAAAAATGTGGAATATAAAAATAAATGTGGTAAATTAATATTGCAAAAGACAGACATTTATAGTGTCTGAACTAGAAAGTCATACTTTATTAGTTTTGTATAAATCAAAGAAACCAAAGGGAGTTTTTCTAACACCCTAAATCTCCAATTTTTTAATTAAATAATTTCCATGTCTACAAGATTGTAGTTTTGATGGCAAAGTAATCTGTTAAAAATATAAAATATTTGCAGCTGCCTTGTATCATAATCTGTCAAGTCTGACAAATCAGACTTGAGAGATTAGCATTCCCTTTATTGGTGTAGGTAGCAGACTGGAATTTAGTTCTGATTAATGGGGAGATGAGAACACAGCAATAAAAGAAATTGAGATTCAGTGTGAAGCTAACATTTAGTGGGTAATACTATGCAGCAGATCCTCACTGATGAAAAGAAAATCTGCATTAATCAAAACAATGTAAGAAATAATAAACTAAAACATTGACCTAGTAAGAAACATGAAATGGATAGATTGGTTAGGGATCACTAATTGTTATAGATGCAGAAGTATGACTGTAGTTTCAAACTGCTGTATTGTGTAGTATCCTCTTCCATGAAACAGGAAATTAGTGTGGTTTCTTCCATAATTTGAATTTGTAAGAGTATAAAACATCAGCATAAAGGAGAGGTTTGGGATGAGTACTTTGAGATTGCAGTAAAAGTTTGTGATATTAAGGCATTAAATAGTCTTACCAGACATGGTGATACAGCTCCTTTTCTTCGTATTTCAAGAAGCCACTGATAGGGTGGTACAAAAGTTGTTTTGATGTGTGTTTCTATCTCCAGTGTCTGCAATTCAGCTAAATATTCCTCTTTTTCTCCAATATCATCCAAACAATGGACTTGTTTCCTAAAATGAATATTTACTTTCCATTAATAATTAAATGGCAATGTAACAACTTAATCTTACTCATGTGTAAATGAAATTAATTTTTTTTACTAGTTTCTGCCCTGTATATATGAGAAGCAATTCCTCCATACATGTACATATATCTATTTCTGCAGTAGAGTATGTAAGGAAAAATCTCAGTGTTGCTGTAAAAAAAGACCTCATAAAACTCGTATATGCAATGCCTCTATTTTCATTAGTTATTTTACTCTAAGCATAAAAGTATACATGTGGTAGTCAAATAAAACTGTGAGGTTAAATTTTAGTTCTACATTTTTTTAATCTCTGTTCAACAAACAAATTTTGTACTGAGTTTATATTCAAGAAGAATTCATGATTAGAATCAATTTTTCTAAATTACTGTTTTGTCAAATACCAGAAATAGACTGGGCTTGTTCCATGATGTACATCTGTTGTTTTTTGTTTGGTTTGGTTTTTAGTGTAGTGAAAAATTGGAAATTTTCTTTAGAGCATGCATATTTGGTTGCTTTTGACATCTCAATCTGGTTATCTGAATATTCTGCTTGATATTCTTAATATGGCAATATAAAATATTTCTTCTCATGAAGAAATATACTAAGTCCATCTGTAGTAGACTTGGAGTTACCACAGCTATTTAAAAGTAGTCCAAAAATAAATTTTAAAAAGTGAAAGAAAATTCTTTAGAGATAATAAAGTGCCAAAGCCAAATTTACAACAGGTATCTCAGCCCTCTGTTCCAGACAGGCTTCAGTTTGGTGTTTGAACTTGCAAATGCAAAATACTGATCTACATGTAAGAGCCATTTAACTCATGAGTTTAAATGCAGTTTTGATTATTACCTGTGGATGTCTATCTGTGTATCAAACCAAGAACAGGCAAAGCTACATGTAATACTAGAGATGTAATTTTGCTCATTGTCCATGTTCTATACTTGAGTATGCTGATGCAGTGTTGTGTTGACCATCTGGTGCAAAAGGCGAAAGGAATGAAGTTACTTAGTGGTCTTCAGTAGTGTATTTTCAATTAATTACCAAAATATTACTAAATTTCTAGATGAAGGATAGATTGTAGGAACATTATTTGACAGGCAAGTCGAAAAAAGGGATTTTCCCTTATTGCTTTTACTTTCTCTTCCAGTAGTTTGGGAGATGCTTTGTGAGACTAAGCCAAGTGCAGCTTCTAAGTCAAAATTATTCATTCATTTTAAGTCTCTTAGAAAGGGAGATAATAGAAAAAGCTCTGTCAGCACAACTGAATCCAAAAGCCCAACAAAATCAATTGCCTGTGTATTGATCTTGGCAGAACAGGGATTGCAGTCGTCTCCAGAACTGCCAGCAGCAGGGAATTTGCAGACTTTAGTGCACAGTTTCTTTTTGTTTGCTGCCCTCTGCGGTTGAAGCTGTAAATTAAAGTGGACTTGGCTGCATGGAGCTAGCTTTACATACTTTTTAACAGCCTCATTTTATGTGCTACCCAAGAAGAAATTAAAACTTAGAAACTAGATAAAATACATGATTTCTAGCTTCTTCTTTACCAGCAGAAACACAAGGGTTTTTAAGCTTACAGCTAATTGCAAGAGTATCCTGAAGCTGAAAAGGGAGGCAACTCCCATTCTCATTTTTATCTCCTTGGCTGGTTTAGGGGAGCCCAGGTGATCTGTCAGTGTGTTCTGCCTCCCTGCAAGGAGGGACATGGTTCCATCACTGGGTAGGTGTGGGGCTCTTCAGGGCACCTTGAGGCTCAGAGCAATGTCAGTAGGCCAG